GTCCTTCTGGCCGAGACTGGAGGCCTCGGAGCTGGGCAGTGGCGCTGGCTCCACGTGGCCCCCGCCATCCGCGGGAGATGGAACTGAGCCGCAGAGTTTGCCATCTGCCTGCCTGGAGGAGGAGGAGGCCTCCGCTTTCCCCAGAGTGAGGTGGGTCCCTTTCCCCGAGGATGGGGGCTCTGCTTTAATCTGAGGTGCAGAGCCGGTCTTCCCTAGGGCTACAGGCTCCACCTTCCCAGAGGCAGTAGGGCTTGCTTTTCCTGACGATACGGGATCCCCCTTCTCCAAGGTCAGCGGCTTCTCGTTCTGCAAAGATTTAGCCTCTGCTTTACCTGGGGACGTGGACACAGTACCCTCCCGTGCAGGGGGCTTTGTTTCTGCTTTGCCCTCAGACTGCAGTTCTGCTTTCCCCAAGGCCCTGGGATCCACCTTCGTAGAGTTCACAGGATTGCCCTTCTCTGGAGGCAGGGGATCCACCTTTCCCTCTGGGACAGCTTCTGCTTCTCCCGTGGATGCCGGGACTGCTTTTCCTAGGGCCGTGGGGGCCACCTTTCCTGCAGATGCGGAGTCCATGTCTCCAGCGGAAACAGTTTCTGCCTTTTCCTTGCTCACAGGGTCCACTTTGCCCAAGGCTGGAGTATCAGCCTTCTCTGAGGCCATGGAGCCCACCTTTACTGAGACCACAGGATCTGACTTTTCCAAAGATAGTGGATCTGCTTTTTCCCCAGTCACTGCCTCAGCTTTCACAGAGGATGGAGGACCCACTGGACCTGAGGACACAGGGGCTGTCTTTCCTGAAGATTCAGGGTTCACTTTCCCAGATGATGTTTTTGTATCTCCCACGGAAATGGGATCCACCTTCCTGGAGGACACTGGGCCCTCCCTTCCCAAGGATGTGGTTTCTGTTTTTCCCACCAACATCAGTTCTGTCTGCCCAGGAGACAAGGGGTCTGGCTTTCCTGAGGACACAGGATCCACCTTTCCCAAAGAAACTGGACCCACCTTGCCTGAAGACATAGAATCCATATTTTTCAGAGATGTGGGATCCATCTTTCCCGAAAACACGGGATCCACCTGTCCAGCAGACATAGTTTTTGTCATTTTCATAGACACTACATCTTGCTTTCCTGAGGAGGCAGGATCCACCTTTCCCAGGAACTGAGGGTCCTCTTTTGCCGGGGACACAATTTCTGCATTTCCTGTGGATGCAGGATCTGTTGTCTCAAAGCAAGTAGGATCTGCTCTTCCTGATGACCCCAGAGCCACCGTTCCAGGGGATACAGTCTTAATGTTGCCTGATGACCCTGGAGTCAGCATTCCCAGGGACCCAAGATCTGTTTTTCCTACAGATGCAGAATCCGTGTTTTCCAAGGACACGGGATCCACCTTTCCCGAGAGCTCAGGATCTCTCTTTCCCAAGGATACAAGATCTGTCTTTCCCACAGATGGAGGACCCACCACCTCTTCTGAGGATACTGTAAGCTCTTTCCCCAAATACCTGGCCTCCTCCTTTCCTGGAAATGCAGGATCCACTTTGCCCGAGGATACAGGATCCTCCTTCCATGGGGACATTGTCTCCATCTTGCTAGAGCTCTCAGGATCTGACTTTTCCAAGGATCCAGGATCTTCCTTTCTTGGGGTCAAAGGATCCATCCTTCCAGAAGCCACAGGATCCCCTTTCCCCAAGATTGGAGGCTCTGTCTTTCCTGTAAACATAGGATCTGCCTTCCTCAAGGACCCAACATCTTCCTTTCCTGTAGAAATGGAATCTGCCTGCCTTGAAGACTTGCTGTCCATCTTCTCTAAGAACATAGGATTTCTGTTCTCCAAGGATGAAGGGTCAGTTTTCACTGAGGACACAGGCTCTGGCTTCCCAGAGAAGGTGGTTTCTGGTGTCCCTGAGATCAAGGCTCCACGTGTCCCTAATGCCTCCTTGGTGGCTGCCTCCTGGGGAGGGATGCAGGTCAGGGAGGGGTAGGCCACGCTCCCGCCAGGGCCCTCAGAGCAGGAGGCCACTTCCCCAGCCCCACTGGAGCTGCTGTGTCTGGAGTCCATGCCTGGGCTTTGGGCAGGGGTGTGCCTGGGGGGTGCAGGGCCGGCCTTTTGCTGGGAGGGGCAGCAGTCCCTCATGGCTGGGCTCGCAGCCCCCAGGCTCCCATCTTGTGGGCAGCAGAGGGTTGTGGGCTGGGATTCTGGGGGGCTGGAGTCCTTTTGAAGCAGCTGGAGCCAGGCTGGGTCTTCAGCACTGCCCAGTTGCCCTCATGCTTGGGCCCCAGGCTGCTGTCTGGTTCTGAAACACAGAGAGAGCAAACTCAGACTCAGGGGACACCTAGTGGGGAGGAACCTTTCTCTGGGCCTCTTCCCTCTCCTCCTGTTCCCAGCAGCCTCTCACCAGTTTCTCTGCCCTGCCTGATCCCCTCCTGTCCAGAGTTTGAGCTAAAAACATGAACCCAACCACATGACTCCCCTGCTTCACTCCTCCCAGTGGCCCTCTGGATAGAGGTCAGTCTTCCTAAAATGGCATTCAAGGCCCTTCACAGCTTGACCACAGTCTAATTTTTCAACTTCATCTATCATCACCCCTCCCTTGTCAGCCCACCCCATGCAACATGCTACCTAGGAGTTATGCTTTTGTCCTCTAGGCTGTGGGTTACAAATTCTGGTGTCATAGGGGCTGGGTAGGTAATTTAATTGAGGGAAGCAGGTTGGGTACAGGACATTAGGGAGTGGTGGGAACCACAGCAAACTGGAGAGTACTGCCCTGTCTAAAGGGGGAGCCCCACCCCACCAGCTGAGTACTGCTCTAGAGAAATGCATCCTGGTAGTACCAGTGAGAAGTGGGAAATCCAGATGTTTAGTGTAAAATACCCTCAACTAATTCAAGATTAAAAAAAAAGTGAGCCAAACAAAATATGTCTGGAGGCCACCAGTTTACGTCTGTGTAGGCCCTGGGGAGACGGGGATGGTTTACAGTTGAAGGAAGGACATGATCTGAAATGTGTGTTTTCAAAGATCGCTCAGGGATGGTGTGGAGGGGAGGGGCTAGCCAAGGCCTGTGAGGAGGCTGGCCAATCATTCATTCAATCTCTCCTTCATCCAGTTCTTCATTCGTTCACCCAGCCCCTTCTCTGCAATAGTCAGGATGAGAGCTTGTACAGTGAAGGTTCTGGGATGAAGAGTTGGCAGGACTGAGAGGGCTGAGGGAAACTGACAGGAACCAGCTGGCTGTACGGGGTGATGGTGGGGTCAGCCTGCAGGATTCTTGCTAGGGTTGGGGTTGCTGGGCAGGAGATCTGGGGAAAGGGGGAGCTGTATTTTGGACAAGCTGAGTGCATGGTGCCTGGGGGCCATCCAAGGAGAGGGTCTGGCAGGCCGCTGGATCTGTAAGCAACTCTGTTCTATTATATATATACACTCAGCAGCCAAAGCCAGCGGAGCTCCCAGTTCCCCCAGACCTCCCCTCCATCTTCCCCAAAGCCATAGTGCTGGTTCTCCAGCCAGCATCCCCTTTTTTTCTCACACCCTGAATCCCACCTCCCCCATCAGCAGAACATAATGGATCAACCTTCAAAATACATCCAGAATTTGGCCACTACCCTGAGCCACTAACCTGCACCATCTCCTGCCTGGATTATCCCTGCTTTTTCCTTCACCACATATAGTTTATTCTCAACACAGCAGCCAGAGGGGTCTTAGTAAAACCCAAGGCAGATCATGTCCCTCCCTTGCTCAGAACTGGGCAGTGTCTCCCCACCTCACGCAGTGTAAGAGGAAGCTCCTTATCATGGCCCAGTTGTTCCTGCATTTTTCTGGCCCCATCAGAGCTCTGGGCCTTGCCTCCTACCACTCTCCCACGATTATGCTGCTTCAGCCACCCAGGCTGCCTTGCTGATCTCGGAGAATGCTGCCTTGGGGCCTTTGCACTGGCTGTTTCCTCTGCCTGATACGCCTTTCTTCCCAATATCCACATGGTCTGCTCCTGGAAGCTTTCCCTGACCCATCCTGTATAAAACAGCCTCCTTCCCAGCACTGGCCGGTGCTCTCCATCCCCCTTGCCCTGCTCAGTTTTTCTTCATTGTACCTGTTCCCATCCACCGAATTACATGTTTGTTTATTGCTCATGACTTGTCTCTCCCATTAGAATACCAGCTCCAGGAGGGTGGGGACTTTGCTGTGTTTACTTGATGTTTTCTCAGGGTCCAGAACAATGACTGGCACGTAGTAAGCAAGTGTCTCCCAATAAATATTTATTTGTTTATTATATTTTTTAATGGAGGGACTGGGGATTGAACCTAGGACCTCATGCATGCTAAGCACGCACTCTACCACTGAGCTATACCCTCCTATTTGTTAAATGAATGACTGAATGACCTTTCTACGATGTCAGTCCAACCATGCCACTCCTTGGCTCAAAACCCTCCTTGCTCTTGTCGGGGGAGTAAATTGGTCGTAGCCCTTTTGGGAGGACATTTATCAATTCCTATCAAAGTTTACAATGCATACAGCACTTGGGTCAGCGAGCCCACCTCCAAGGGATGGTCTTGGAGACAGACTGAGGGTGCGTGAGAATGCGGCTGGTGATGAGAAGAAAAACCAGGAAGTGGGTTCATGAAATGTGGAACAAACACATGGGACCCCTCCTCCCCCTGCCGCAGCTGTTAGAACGTGCGGAGTGATGAGGAAAGATGCCCAAGATAAATTGAGTGAAAAAAGCCAGGGGACAGCATGTCTAGTGGGATCCCATGCGTGTAGGCAAGGAAAAGGACAGACAGACATCTGTGGGTTTATTTCTAAAGAGGAAATTTCTGGAAGGAAACCCATGAAACTTTCAGCAGTGACTGCCTCTGGGAAGCGAGACCAGGGATCTGGAGGTGGAGGAGATTTTGTTGAACGCCGCTTCGCGATGCTTGAATTTTGGTTCTATGTACATATATTACTTGTCTAAAAACTGGGGGAAAAAGCAATCTTTAATGACTCCATTACTTTTAGGGTCAAGTCCAACTCTACAATGTGATTCTAAGCCCTGTATTTACTTACCTGCTGGGTTTTATCTTTCATCATGCACTCCATCCCTCGAAGCAGGTACACACACACGCACACACACGAAACCTCTTTGGGTTCAACCATGAGTTCACATTCGCTCCCATCTTAGCCTCCACACACCTTCCTGCTTGGCTCTTATTAAACTTTCAGTTCTCAATTGAAATGTCTCCTCCTTCAGGAAGCCTTCTTTGCCCACCAGCTTCCTTGGGATTCCCATGGCCTCCTGTTCTGCCCCTAACCAGACTCCTGCCATTATAAATGTAGCCCATTATACCTCTGGGTCCCCATCTATCCCTTGGGTCCCTGGAAGGGGACTCAATTGATACTGCTCACCACTGGGTCCCCCGAGCTGTGGGTTTGTGGGACTTGTGGGGGATGACTGTTACCACCAAAATGGGGACACGGCGGGGAGGGGAAGTTCTGCAGAAGATGGTGGGGCACTGGGTTTTGGGAAGCTGAACTGGGGGGGCCTGTGGGACTTATCAGGGGGTGTCCAGGAGGCAGCTGGGAGACAGGTTTGAAACACAGGAGAGGTCTGCTGGAATTCTTTGGGTCTGGTTTTCCTCAGTATAAAAATGGTAGGTGTACAGGGAGCTCGGGCTGGAGCTGGAAAGAGTCAGCAAGGGCTGGAGGAGGGGTGCTCTGAGTCCTCACCAGCCTTCCTTTCCCCTTAGGTAGCCCAGCAGGGGGTCCTCTCACACTAGCCCCTCCGACAGGCTCCCTTCCCCCAGGTGAAGCGTGGACAGGAAGTCAGGACAACACCCTCTGACCAGCTGTGACCTCAGGCAAGTCCCTTCTCCTCACTGGGGACCCTGACAGACCCACCCCCTGCTCCTTCTGGGCTACAGTGAGAATTAAAGAAGATAAGGGGTGTGCGCGGCTCTGCTACTTTAGGGCTGGGCTGTGTGCATGGAAGGCCTGTTTTTATCTACTCAGCCTGTCAGAGCCCAGCTGTGCTCCCAGGAGGGGGCTGGGGAGGGAGGGCCAGCAGCACAGGCACAAACTGGCGAAACCTCACCCATGAACGCGCTCGATTAACTCAGAGTGCTTAGAAAAAATTTTTTAAAGGAATTAACTAATCAACATTTTAAAAAGTAGAAGATTTCATGTGAAAATCAGATTTCTAGCTTCTCTTGGAAGACTAAAATTTAGCAATCTGAGTGTGCTTTCTGCAAGGCAGTGGTCAGCTGGAGCCAAGCAGTGGCTGCCTCCTTAGATGGGGAATACCCTCCAGTTAGCCACCATCTCCACCCCTCCCTGTGGTGTCGGGACGCTGAGGTTGACTGCCCACTGCCACTGGTCACTGATTTGCACCATTGTTTTTCTTACAGCCAGCCCCTCATGCACCATATCTACCTGGCCTGTAGCCGCCTGAGTTTTGACCCTTGACCTAGATGCCAAGGAAGGTGACCTCGCACCCATCAAGGCCTTACTATACTTATGTGTCGATCCCGTACGCTTTCCAGGCAGGTGTTGTGTTCTTATTTTCCAGAGGAAGAAATTGGGGTTCCGAGAAGCAGGCATGGCCCAGCTGGCCACATGCTCCTTCTGAAAGCCCCCCGGAAGAGGCTGGCTTCTGAGTTCTCAGCTCACAGTTCTCTGATGTGGGATCAGGTCCAGGGTAAGGACAGAGAGCCTGGCCAGAGGGTTAGAAAGATTTGGGGTCAGGCTCTAGCTTCATCATTGACATATGACTTTGGGTGAGTTTTCCCACACCCTGGGCCTCAGTTTCCTAACCCGTGAAATGGGGGAGAGGATGTAGTTATATCTAGAAGAGGTGGCTGAGCCCTGGGTTTAAGATCTGCTGAGATCCCATTTCCAGAAGCTCTGCTGCTCATAGTTCTGCTAGGCTTTTCTTGGCTCTCCAGGAAGCCTCGGTATGCTCCAGCCACTTCTCCAAAAGGCAGCCCAGGACTGGGGCCCCACTTCCTTGCCTCCCATCTCCCACTGGAACCCAGCTCCATCACTCTTCCGCTGTGTGCTCAGCCCTGGACCCAGCATTCTCAGGCTCATTTTAGCATCTAGACTCCATAACAATCTCATGAGGGAGGGCATTAGCATCCCATTTCACAGATGAGGACACGGAAGTCAGAGGGAGAAAAGACTTGACCAAGGGCACACAGCTGGGACAGAGGTTGTGGTTAAAAGCCTGTTGAGTCTGAATCCAAAACCTGGGTTCTTCCCACTCATATCAGCTGAGATCTTGGACACTGATGTTTGGCTCTCAAAACCCCTTTCTGCTCTTCAGGGTCATGCCAAGAGCCCTCCCAATCCCCTGGACCTAACCGGCAACAGTGCGAAGGAGCATCTGGGAGAGGAAGCAAGAGCGTAACCCACCTGCGGGAACACCCTATGAGCAGATGAGCCAGCATACGTGTGACGCCTGATTGAGGGAAAAGAGTAAAATGACCCCAGATATGTCAGCTGGCTCACCCGGCAGGCAGAGGAGCATGTAGACTGCTTGTGGACGCCTGTGCCAGCTTAGGTCAGCCTGGAGAGCCAGGACCTGGCTCCTGCCTTCTGTTCAAGAACTTGGTGTGCACATGTTCAACTTGTATGTGCAGAATGGCATGTGTGATTTTGTCTCACGGGGCCACTTGGACCCTGTGTGTGCACATATGTGGCCACATGGCCTCAGAGCCTCACTCATGGGAGAGTTGGCTTGGGTATGTGCGGAGGTGCTTGTAGCTCACTCAGGTCCAGAGACCTGGCCAGCCCGTTCCTTTTCCTCTAGGATTCCTTCCCTAATTGGAGCCAGGGCTGCCAGGCATCTGCAAACACCTCCTCCCATGGTGACAAGATCGACAAAGGCTTGTGGGGCTTCGGCAGGTGCGAGAGAGAGAGAGAGAGAGAGAGAGAGAGAGAGAGAGAGAGAGAGAGTGTGTGTGTGTGTGTGTGTGGTGTGTGTGACAGTCTTGGTATGCTGCCCCTCACCCTCTCATCCCCTTGTCTCCTAGAATCCTCAGAGCAGCAAAGCTTCCTCCTGGGCCTGGAGGGGAGATGGAGTCTAGCAAAGGGTGATATCCAGGCTTCCTTCCAGAAATGGCCCTGAGACCATCCATCCATCCATGGAGGGCAAGAGTGGACATGCAGGAGTGGGGGGCGAAGAGCAAGCTAAAAGCCAGAGAGTGTGTGACAGGGAGTGTGTGACACGCTACTGCAGGGTCTGGGGGTACATGAGAGACACTACGATGTGCAGGTGTGAACAGGCACATGCAGGCCAGAGCAGGGTGCCTGCCAGCGTGTTGTGTTCAAGTATTGCTGAGTTGAGTGTACTGTGATAGGCGATGGCTGGTGTGAGTGCGTAGGTATGCCTGGGTGTGTACACAAGGTGTACTGGGTGGGTGCCCAGGTGGCCATGTGTATGAGTCTGATGGAATGATAAAGGCCACAGTGTTCGTGTGGACCCGTGCGTGGCCTCGAGCAGTGAGTGTGTGACTGTGTATGACGGAGCCCCAGAGTGTGTGCCACACTGAGCGTGCGACAGCGAGTGTGCTCAGTGGTGCCAGTAGAGCCACTCGAGCGCCGAGCTCGCTCCAGGGGGAAAATGAATCAACGCGGGCGGACCCCCTCCCCGCGATGGCGGGAAGCGCCCTCTCCCGCACCGCAGTGCCAAACAAAGGCTCGGGGCCGGGGTCCTACATACAGGGCGGGCTGGCCCGCAGGGCCCCTCG